CTGGAGAGCACGTCATGTCCTCAGCAGTGCGCAGTGTGTGGCCGCCCAGAGCAGGCAGGACAGCAGCAAGCGCGCCCGAGAATGAAAGGGCCTGGACGCCGCGGAGCACTGCGCAGGCGCACTGCGCTCCTGCTGACCTTGACCATCACCAACCGCTTCCAGGCGCACCGCACTTCCCCCACCGGCCAGGTCCTGTGGCCCAGTTTCCATGGGAGGTGATGCTGTGCATTTCTTCTTTAGCAAACTTGTTCCGAGGTCCCTGCGGTTGCTTCCCAAGATGCAGCCATCTAGGGAGAGCTGAGGAATGCGGAAGACTTGCCCCAGGTGTGAAGGGACCTCTAGGCCCACCGGCACTCCACTGTTTTTCACGCTGGGCACAAGGCAAAGCTGCTGTGGCCGAGCCCAGAAGCGCTTCCCCTGGCGCAGCTCAGGGCACTCAGTGGGGTCAGCGACCAGATGTTCCCAGGACCTTCCAGAGGGATGCCTGCCATGCTCAAGTAAACAGATTCTGCAGATACAGGTTTTGCACCTGCCTTGCCTGCTTGGAATCTCTTCCACCCACTCACTTCCTCGCTGAACCATCTCGCCTTTCCAGATTCTTCCCTTCAAAGTCATTCTGAAGCCTCCTCCTGCCCTGGGGTGGAACAGGTCCCCAGCATGTCACGCCCAGGTGGCCTTGGGAACAGCTGCGATATTCGAGCATTCTAAGCGTTCGCTGGTGTCTTGCCCACTTATCCAGGTTCCTTCAGGGCAGAAATCCCACTGTGCTCACCTGGCCCTTCACCTGGCCCGTTGTTTGGCATCTTGAGGCTCCTGCTGTCTGTTTGCAGACAGACAGGCAGACAGCATGCGAGGCCACACCCCTTAGGTTTAGGTGCAGCGGTTCGGGCCCCTGGAACCGCAGAATCTGAGTCTTCAGCTCTCTGTCCTCTGGAGGAGGACAGCATTGGAACCCGTGCCTGGTGCGGCTGGAGCCGCAGCTGGGGCTCCTGGACTCCTGGTGGGTGAGGAGCAGCGAAGGGGAAAGGACAGGTGCCTTCCTGCCTTCCTGTCCTTCCCACGCACCAGCCCACTGGGGAATGCGTGTCCTGGAGCCTGTACAGCACCCTCACCACATCTGCTCTGAAACACAGCCGCTCATCCTTGGTTCCGCACCCTCAGACTGCGGTCCTGTTAAGTCCCTGCTGATGGCTCCTGGGGAGTTAGTGACCCTCCTAGTAGGACACACTTTCCAAGTCCTCACCTTATTGGGTGCCACCTTCCTTTTGCCAAAATCATACTCTCCTCTAAATGAACAATGACAACAACTGTTTGTCACTGTGAACCTAAATAAAAGCAAACCAGGACATCACCCTCCTAGGAATCTAGAAATGGTGGCCAATAGACCAAGCCATACTCTCAACTCATCCTCCCATGAGCAGAAAGAGTAACTCTCTGAACACACACACACACACACATGCACAGACACACATATGCACACATATACACATGCACATGCACATAGGCACACAAAAACATGAACACACACACATGAACACAGACACATGTAACGTGTGTGCACATGTACATGCACGCAGGCACACACACACACACATTCTTTTCAAGCAACATCCACGCCTGTCTGTAAGAACCTCCTCTGTAACCCTGTCAGTTTTGCCTGACGCATTTGCCACTATTTTGTGAAGTAAGGCAAAGGACTTGGCCTGTTCTTCTCATCTCCTTCATTTCCTCCAGCATGGAAGGCCTGGGGTGGAAGCCCTGGGCTCACGGCCCACATGCTAAGCTATTCTGTTCTGCTTTACCACAAGACCCTGTTTGCCTTACCACCCATAAGCTGGAGCTAATTATCGCAGATAATTATAGAATTCATATACGTGGGTTCTAAATAAAAATACACCCTCCACACATGAAGAACAATACCAACATAGCTGAAAGAGTTTAGGGAAACCACAAATTGCCTTGGTGCTGCGGCTGTATTTATAAATTACATATTTGCATATAAAATTGAATTTGCAGAGAATTCAAGACAACAGCATTTTATAAACTTGAAAAACTTTAACGAGGAGCCAGATTTCCAATACAAGGTGCAGAAAACACAAATGCACCAGGGAAAATCAAAGGTCGACTACTTTCAAGCCTCAGCCCTATTTGTACACGAGCTGGGACAAATTCCCCCATGTCTGTCCCCAAGGGAGCCAACGCAGCTCTTTCATATGAAGATATCACCGCATGTGCAAAACGCTGGCTCTAAAATTAAGTCTTCTATCGTCCAAAATTTCTCAATTATTAATATACTAGACAGCTGTAGTAGCTCTAGCAAAAATAGCAACCCAGCTTTTCCAGAAGTCAAAGCAGCCACAGGATGGCTGCTGGGGACTTTCCTACATAAGGAATGGTTGGTCTGCAGATCAAACAAAAAGAAATAGAACCTTCAGCAGAACAAGCACAAAAAAGAGAAGTTTGTTTTAGAATGTAGGCTGCAAAGTGACTTCCCTGGCAATACCAGCCTTTTATAATAAAGCCACTGTTGTGTAGAAAAGAAAGAGTTGTTTGAAAAGGAAGCTGCTTTGGCCAACTCATCGAGAAAACAATTCAGAAAATGAACCAGTGAACTCAAGAAATGCCTATCACTCTGGAACCTTCTGCAATGAAGAGACTGCGCCTACTGAAAGGAGGGTTCGGTACAGATACAAACTATGTTCCCTGTTAGAATTCTGGAAGCAGTGTGTGTCCGACAGAAGCTTGCCTTAAGTTGCATCATCTAAAGCAACTCTACTAATATACATTGTTGTATAAATATTTGTGCTGAAAAAATGTTTGGGAGTAAAAAGCTCGGGACACAATGCCATGTTTTGTGAACCCAACCAGGATAAAAATTTTAAGTCAAAGATCTTTTTTTCTTTTTCTTTTTGCATTTTTAGGGAAAGGTCTACAGGGTGTTCAGGGTCTCACTATTAGATCAGACTCAGTAGTGACCCGCCTGTGTACAGCCTCCCAAGAGCTGGGAATACAGTGCACACCACCACGCCCAGTCTCAAGTGCTGCCAAGCCCCTGGCCCCTGCGCCTGCTTGCAGGTGCTTTAATCCGCTGAGCTAGTTGGCTCGCCCTTCAAAGATTGTTTTTAGCACAAGAACAGATTTTAAACACTAGTCTTTGGATGTTTTTAAAGCTATAACATCACAGCTCAAATGCATCACACCAGTAAGGGCGTCACTTGCCAATGTGACTATAGACGTGACCGTACGCTTCACATTCGCTGTCACAATTCTCATGACACATCATTCTAACCTTAAAGGCCACCAGACCACACGTGCCAGTGGTGATCAGTGAGATCCCATCGACTCATCCAAGCCTCAGTGATGCACACAGACGAACTGTTAGGTGCCTTTGAGGAAGCAAGACAAGTCAGCCCCCCACGTGTGTGTGTTTGCGCCAGTTCTGCGTCATCTGTGTGTGAGAGCGAGGACAGCATTTCACATCCGCAGCCTCAAGGTCCATGCAAAACTCACTGCCATTTTTCAATAAATGTCAGAGAAGCCAAGCGCGGCTGCTTGGAAATGCCTGCTAGGCTATTAATATAATACAGAGCTAGGGTGGGTGTTCTTCCGATGGTCAGTATCACTTACAGCAGGTTGCTAACAACGCGAGCACTCATGCCCCCAGCACCACTTACCATTTGTGATCGGTTCTTCGGGCAGCCATTGATGTCCTCAATCTTTTCATTTGCTGGAAAAGGAAATATAAGTCAGGAAAACAAGGCATCACCATAGACACACTTCCAGCAGTGAAGGCGGGATACTCGAGGCCGAGAAGTCCTGAGGGTCTGTCCAATCAGCGCGGGCGTGTGGAATCCGGACTCACATCTAGCAAGCTTTGGGACTTACTCATCAAGCTGCTGTGCTCCAGGGACAGCTGGGGCAAGGTTGTCATCACTTAAAACAGAGACAACTGCGCTGATGACTGTCTGACAGTGACAGGGCATTGTGGTAATGTCTGGGGACAGGGAGATCTGCAAGTGCACCCTGTGCTCTTAGGCGCATGTCACTCCAGCCTCCCCATGAAGGATGGGACAGTATAGAGGGGGCAGTCCAGCTACGAGTCTGCTCCTGGGGACAGGAGGGACAAATGAAAGTGGCTCACTGCATCTTTATTTTTTAATTAATTCATTCATTTTGCAGTACTGGGGACTGAACTTGGGACCCTGTGCTTGCCAGGCAGGTGCTTATTGTTGCTGAGCTGTATCCCTGGCCCTGCATCTTTAGCTAGAATACAACTATTGCTTTGGGGTATCCTGATAGCATTCCAAATGCAGTGAAAAATGGGGATAATGAGAGAGACAGAGACAGAGACAGAGAGGTGGGACAGAGACAGAGACAGACAGAGAGAGAAAGAGACAGAGGGAGAAAGCAAGACACAGAAAGGCAGAGACAGAAACAGAGAGGGACAGAGAGAGAGAGCAAGATATGGAGAGACAGAGAAAGACAGAGAGAGACAGAAAAAGAGAGACAAAGACAGAGATAGAGAAAAAGAGACAGAGACAGACATAGAGAATCAAAAATACCTTGGCCAAGGACATAATGAGCTCAAAATACATAAGGGAACTGGATCAAAATAGTACCTAGTTGCTGAAAGATATGACAAAAAGAGGCTGCAGTGAACCCCCAGGAGATGAAGTACCACACGGGGCAGACCGGCCATCATCTCAGCATGAGCACAGCGCAGGGACAGTGCGGGGCAGTCCCCCACCAGGCAGCACGTGAGAGCTCCGGAGCTGCTGAGCTCAAGGCAGTCACACAAGAAATACCCTGTGCATGGCAGTGGGAGGGCAGGCTCTGGAGGAAAGCTGCCCCAGCTTGAGCCCAGGGCTACAGCCATGTCCCTCAGCCTAGCTGGGCCTCGGGCTCCTTCTCTATACAATGAGGCTAATGCGACCTGCCATGGAGGAGCAACGAGAATGACATGACAGCAGGAGAACGCACACCCAGCATGCAGCACACCCAGCATGCAGCACACCGCAGCCGCTCTCTGGCAGCGCCATTCACCTAACCCTGCACATACTGTTATCATCTACAGGAAACATACAAAAGAAGTATTTTCTTTTTGATGTCCCCATGTAGCTCGGGAGCGCAGCCAGGACTCTGTAGAGAGGCTGAAGATTCACATCCTCTGAAGCCTTTGTAATCTCACTCTGCACCCCAACGCCCTATTTCCCACAACTTCACCCACTGAAAGATGAGGAGCCTGTGGCCACAGCTGTCTCTCTGTGCTCTTCCCCGTCTGAGGTGTAACAGCCCCTAATCTTCCTTGTCCACCCAGGAAGGATGGGAGACCCTTGGTGACACGTCTCATTTACTTTCACATACGTATCCTTAGAATTCAGTAATTGCTTGCAAAACTGAATTCCTCCTCAATACCCCCCAATCACATCAGATTCTTATGAATATAAAGGATAAGACTTTCACAGAAAGGCATTAAAAATGGTCTGCAATGGATAACCAAATGAAAGTATCCCAAGCCTCCAAAATCATAAAACACTAGAGCCTTCATATAGCTTGCCATGCTCACAAATTGAGTTTACTTTTTTCCCCTCTAGTGTTTTTGCCTAAGAGAAAGCTTAGACTAAGAAAGCAAGCTAGTGGCAGGGAATTGCTTAAAGATCTAATTGCCTGGTTAGTACATATTCAGCTTGATCTCTACCGTTTTCAGCACCTGCCAAAATTACTTCATGCTCACATCTCTGGCCCACCTGGGAACTCCCAATCTTTGAGACTCAATTAAGCTTTCTCAGTTCTGCTTAATATAATAATTCTGGATGGGAGAGAAATTATGGAAAGTTTTGATCTCAGAGGAAGTCCCTAAAACACACAAAATACGGCAATGGGCTGGGGATATAGCTCAGTCATAAAGTGCTTGCCAATCAGGTGCCAGGCCCTGGGCTCCATGCTCAGTGTGTGGAGGGGGAGGGGAGACGAGGAGGTGGTGGGGAGGAAGGAGCGAAGACACGAAAGGAAAAAGAAAGGAGGACAGAAGGAAGGAAGGGAGACGTAGTGACTCACTAGATATCTTGCCTTCAGTTCGCCTGGAAATACAATTGTTCAGAATGCGCTGCCGGCAATGTAAACTCCATAAGCACTGAGATTTTTATCTGCTTTGTTTCATACTGTAATTCCAGAGCCTGGCACCCTAGCCACCCCATAAGTGCTTGTTCAGTGGAACCGCAGAAAGGAGAATTGGAACATTTCAATGGATCGGGGCTTACGGCCTATCTTGAGACAGCTGTCCTTTGCATTATAAATAGCAATATACACACTAAAGACAAGAGAAGAATATCCTTGATAAACAGCATTTTTGCATCCATGGGAAATTATGGCAGGCATAAATTCTCACCGTGGACTATAATAGCACAACACTGCGCAGAACCAACAGACAGGTGTTAAAACATCAAGGTGTCTTTCACCTGGCTATTCACTGCGATTACCGTCATCAGTCGCTGGATCCCGATCAGTACCTGGCTCAGCACTGGACCATTAGTGTCCACCTGTGGCAGCCAGGCATGGGCAGCTGCTATCCTAAGTAGTCATTTGGGAAATTTCAAAGATCCTTCATCTGGATACATGAGGCCAAAGAGTTCGGTCTATTTACCATCTGAGTTCCTTTCAATGGCCTGTCACCTAAAGCCAGTCAGGTGCTCTGTGAATTGAAACATCGAAGCCCCACGCTGCCACTGCACAAGAGTCAACAGAAACTAAAGCGGTACAGCCCACTTAGGACCACTCCCAAAGGAGCACCGAGAGAGGGACACCAAATGGCTAACGCAAAAAGCAAACTAAATGCTTAATAAAAATGCAAAATAAATTTTGGACCTCCTTGATTCCAATTCCATGTAATTTAAATGCTTTTTCCTTGACTTAAATTCCCAAGAATTCCTATGGTTGTCATAAATACTTACAGAGCTAATAGCGGCACTGACTCTGTTGCTAAAAATGAAGAGTTGGATCATCAGAGCCAAATTTTTTAACTCAGGGTAGTGGATCTTTGGCTGAACCCCAAAAGCAGATGATCAAAGGAGCAAAGGCATCTGTCCCCAGAGTCCTCAACTGTGATTAAGAATGGCATTTCTAAGAGCAAATGGCAATTTATCCACGCACATTGGAGACATCCTTAGCCTGCTAATGCGGTGAGCTGTCTGCACACAAGGTGACAGATTAGTGATGGAAGGCATCCATGCGCTTCTTAAATACAAACAGCAGCATCAATCTCATTACTTTTTGAAAGAGATCCTTGAAAGGACTGGGAGCATTTTAACAGCCTGTGTATCTCCCTCACCATCAACCATAGCTCTTGGCAACCCTGCCACTGGGGAGAGAGGACTGGAAAGACAAATGACTCACCCAAGGTCACATGATGGTGGCAGGTCCCACATGCAAAGAGAGAAGTGCCCCCTTCACTCCCTCTTTCTTTCTTTTTCTTTTTCTTTTTTTAGAACCGTGGATTGAACTCAGGCCCTTGCGCTTGCCAGGGAAGCGCTTATTCTATTGAGCCATCTCCCCGGCCCCCCTTTCTCTTTCCAGCTCTCACTTGTCCATTCCTTTTCCTCCCTCTGCCTCTTCTTCTCTTTCTTCTCTCTCCTATTTCCTCCTTCCACCCCCTTGTGGCATCTTCCTATCACACTGAGGGACCCCAGTGTGAGCAGGAGGTGCGCTCTCCCTTCACACCGCAAGTCCCAGCCTGTGGACCTTCCTGATAGCTCCCAGAGACGGCACTGGGATGGCCTGGTTCACATCTCAAGAAGATAATCACAGGAAGAGGAGGCTGGAGGCAGAGACAGGGCACAGTCCCCAGCCACCAACGGGTGGGTACTCCACGACAGCACTGAGAAGCCCATTGCCCACCTTCCAGCCTGAGCTAAATAACAGAGAATCGTGGGCCCCAGAAAACGCTGCTGCCTAGGAGCTCACCTGGAGGGCATCCACGACACATGAAGACTCAGAGCTGCAAATAAGAAAAGCTCTTAGGGTTTTCCCTGAAGTCACACACCGGATGCCCCTTCCCAGTCTGGAAATCAACTGGATTTTCAGGCAATAGCCCTGAACACTGTGTGTACCTAGTGGTTCTGCCTGATTTTGCCCTGATAACTCTCCGACACTCCCCTCCAGCCTTTCTGCACGCCATCTGCACCACCAGGGACACCTGCCCTTCCTGCCAGGCTCAGCATGCTTTTCCTGCAGAGTGAATTCTTCCAGGACCCCTTCCCAGCATCCCACTTTCCTGCTCCATGACCTATCATGGGGCAGCACCTGAGGTGCATGATGCTCCTCCCGGGAGAGCAGCTGTCGGTCCCCTAGGAGACCCACCTGGCTGCCTGTGAGTTTTGTTGGCCTTCACTTCCAAGTTCTCATTTAAACTTTTTGATTCTGAAGTAATCAAACTTACTTAGGGAAGAGCTACAGGACCAGATCACAGGCTTCCCGTATACCTTGGTCCATTCCTCTTTTCCCTCTCCTCTGCCCCTATCCTGTCCCTGGACAGGGCTACATGTAACGTCTCTTCTTTGGAATCATTTCAGAGTATGCTACATACATCCTGCCCTTCACCCTTTACATTTTAGTGGGTTTTTCCAAGGCACAAATATACTATCTCCCATGGCACAATTATGGAGTTCAGAGAATCTAACCCTGACACAATGCCAATATTTCAGTTTTGCCAACAGACTCAAAAACATTCTTTACGGCTTTCTATTCCCTTGTATAGGATGCAGTTCTGGTTGCATAGTGCATGGGTTGTCACATCTTTTTAATTTCCTTTATTCTAGAAGAGCCTTTCAGACTTCGTCTTTCATGACATCACTGCCTTTGAACAATACAAGCCAATTCTTTTTTTAATAGAATGGCTTTGTCTGCAATTCTGCATGATCGATTAGTTTCAGCCTTTCCATCCCTGGTGCTACGTCCCCTGAGCGCCCGTCGGAAGGCACATGACTGACTGCCTGCTATCCCTCCCCAGCATCAGAGACAGGATCTCTCAGCTGGGTGGTGGCCTGATAGGCCCTTAATGACTGTTACATGTCCCTTCATAGCTAACAAGCAAGCCGTAGAGAGGCTTGGAGCCACACAAATGCCAGGAAAGGCACCAGTGAGAAACAGAATTATTGAGAATAAGTAGAAGCTCAGCAGCCGAAGAACAGTAGAATCCTGCCTAGCACAAGGCAGTCAGTAGGACTCTAATACTGCAAAGTTTGTATAGGTAAGAGTTCCGTAGGTGTCTCTATGCAAATCCATATGCATAGTGGAGACGTGGGTGCACACAGATACGCCTGCACACGTTCCTTTGATGAGCGTGTAGGGTGAAGGAGAGGAGAGTTGGTCAATAATCCAGCTCTGTGATTGGAAAATGTGCCTCTCCCCAGGCAGTCTCCACGCACAGGTACTCTAGATAAGATGCTCTGAGTGGCTGGCAGGTGACCTAGGAGCAAGCTGCTGCTTTCTTAGCAGCCTGTATTCGGGTGTAAGCCCCAGCACGGCATAAGGCAGGAGTCTCGTGCTCACACCTGGCCAGAGACCGTCTCCTGAAAAGCTGAGGGCCGACAACGAGGAGGCCTGAGGGCAGCCTGCAGTGCTTATAGGTGCTGGGCATCCCCAATCTTAAACTCTAAAACCCTTCAAAATATGAAACTTTCTTTGTATTTAGAACAGGGTATACAGGGTCTCTCTGTGTAGATCAGACTCATAGTGATCCTCCTATTCACAGCCTCCCAAAGTGCTGGGATTACAGACGAGCCACCATGTCCAGTCTCAACTGCCACCTCAGCAAGCCCTGGGGACAGGGGCAGGGGTGGGGCTGGCACAGCAGGCCAGGGGATCGAACTCCGGGGCCCTGTGTCTGCCTAAGCAGGCGCTTTAATCCGCTGAGCTATCTGGCCGGTCTCAAAATCTGAAACTTTTAGGGGGATAAAACCAAAGTCTAAAATCTGGGTTTCCACACTAATCTACATCCCCAGTGTGGAGATTTGGGGCATGGACCCATCTGGATGTGGGTCTTGGAAACTTCTGAGCACTCACTGCTACTGTAGGTGGCAAATTCCACCCCATAAAATTTCTGTTTCGGGGCAAAGTTATTTCAAATATTATCCAAATTTTCCTTTGGCCTATGTGTAGAGGATGTATGTGAAACAAAAGAATTTCATCTTTAGATGTGAATATCCCCAGGATATCTCACTGTGTATAAGCAAGTTATCTGAAAAAGTCTGCAAGCATTTTGACTATAAGGGACACACAGTAGGACCGCCCTGGGCCTTGCCAAGCACAAATAAGTGACTTGGGCTCCAGGGAGGGTCTCTCATCTCAACAGATGCAGGGATGTTTTCCCTCAAGTAGGGACAAAAGCATGAATGCTCCCACCTCCATGACATGATTCAGTAAATTCCCAGCGCGGCCATGGCAGACATGACTAATCTATCATGGCACACACTGCCACGGATACTGAGACCCCAACCTGCTGCACATACCTTCCCGGGCAGCTGCTGTGAGTGCTATTCAGGAGCACACCATAGTTTCCAACATATCGCATATTTGATAGCTGACTTGAATTTCATGAGCCGGCCATCGCAACAACTGCAGAGGCTACTGCTCACGCTTGAAGGACAGGCGGCTTCTCTATAACAGCACATGCCACAGGGGCTGGCATTCCCAGCCTCTCCCTGTGCCACGGCCTTGGCATGAATCTGCTGAGGGCGACAACAGTCAGTCTAATGCTGCCTAATTGACCTCCACTTCCTTGTCTACTCTGCGCTCTCACACAGGACCTGCTTGTCCAAGAGAGACTCTCGCTTCCCAAGTCCTGGCTGAAGCATGAAAATTCCCACTGCTCGAATCCCCTTCCCCTAGAATTAAAACAAGAAATGACCAGCTCTTTCTGTCAGCCTTCAGACCAATTAAAATTGGCAAGATTAAACCAGCCCATGTTAGCCTGTCTTCCTCTTCTCTCTCTCCCTCTTCCTTTCTCATTTGCAGTCATCCACAAAAGAAGTACCATCAGCAGAGAAAAAAGAGAGACCTAGAAAGATAGTAGGAGGCAAATGGGGGGCAGTGCACCCCACCCCCAAATCATAGGCATTTGCCTCTGGTCCTAAGCTATCTTTCTTCTAAGAGGATCATGGTGAGATTTCTGCATGTGTAATCGTAACAGGAAAAGCAAGTTGTCCCTACACAAATGGCTGTCCACATACAGGAGAAAAACACTAAATTTCCTTAACGACTTCCCTGTCCTCTCGGCCCTTACAGCCCCTCTGGCTGGCTCTGCTGTGAGTCACCAGCCCTCAAGGACAAATGAACTCTTACCCACGACCTGGATGATCTGGGCCAGGAGGACGCCGTCGGTCACATCTTGCTGGAGATCCTTGATGAGACGTTTGTGGCCGGATTTGGCTAGATAGTGATTGGCCCAGTCTGTGTAGATCTGTAAAAAAGCAAACAAACAACTTCAGGAATCCAGTCAGAGCCCATTGCAGGGTCTGAGGCAGCTGCTGGAATGGGCCTGGGGCGCAGCAGCCACCGTGAGCCTCCGCGGCCCAGTCGCCACCATTAAAATTCAGTGCATTGTGCAGACCAGGCATTCAGCTCACCATGGCTGGGCCGTCGGCTATTGAGAGAGCTGCCGTCAAAGCTGGAGAAAAGCTAAAGAAAGCTTCAAAACACACAGGGCCTGAAAGGGACAAGGGACAAGGAACTAAACAGTCTGCTCCAGCCGGCTTTGAGAGGCGGTGGCTGCAAACACAGGCAAAGTCTCCCCCCACCTCTTTGCATCTTTTTCTCTTTATGGGGAAACCGTATGGGGAGGTTACCACCCAACAGGCATCTGCTAATGAGCCTCTCAGGGTAAGAAGGGCCACTGAGCCAGCCAAGTTCTCAGGGGCCTGGGTCCCAAAGAAGCCAAACAGGAAAACACAGAGCACCTTCAATTCCTCCTGTGTGAGCGGAGCTACCAACGGCCTCACCACAATCTCAAATTTAATCCATTTAATTCCAAAGCCAGGCATCATTTCCTCTGCTGGGATTCTGTGAACAAAACCCAGCCAATTCCAACATCTTTACACACGACATCCGTGTACATGACACCCCAGAAGGCAAAGGCTGGGTCACCTGTGGAATTGAGAGAGCAGGCCCCCTGGGGAGCACACCAGACCTGCTCTTCATGGTCACAAAATCGTGAGAGTAAAGGAAGCTTTGTTTCCAAGCAGGCAGATGAGCACAAGAAATCCTTGCCCTGAAAACTTTCTCCCCAACTGTCAGAGCCACAAACAGAAGCCAGGGAGAACATCACCCATTGATCTTGAGTGATAATTTCCACCTGTAGAACTCTGAGTTTACAGAGGGGGTAGAGGTGTCTACAGGGAGCCGTGTTGGGTGCTGGGAACAAATCAATGCACAAAAAGAGAAAAAGAAGAGGAAGAGGAAGAGGACGAGGATGAGGATGAAGACGAAGATGAAGCAGAAGCAGAAGCAATCTACACACTGCCTATGCTGAAGAAGCTGTGAAGCGCTCGCTCTGAGCATCCACGTGACTCATAGACCAGGAGACGCGTCCTCTCCTGGCTCTTGTCCTCTGTGCTTTCTTCCCCAGGTGGTTTCACGCAGTGGGGTGCTGTCCCTCAAGGCTCCTACACTGGCCCAGGGGCCAGGTCTTTCTGGGAGGCAGCAGCTCTGGTTCTCCTCCTGGCAAGGGGATTCTAGGAGCAACAAGGCTGAGCTGCACATTCTAGCTCAGATGCGAAAGCGACGTCTCCAGGCCGCCCCTCCACCCCATCTAGAAGCTCCACAGAGTCCTGCTGGAGGAAGAGGCACACTCGTGGGTGGGTCCCATTCTGCACTTTGGCCCCAATATCTGCTCCGTCAATCCACATGGGGAACTTCTCTCCCCTGATACTCCCATGTTGACAAAGACCAAAAAATTCTGGCAAAGTTGAGAAGTCTAAAGAAAGCAAAGGAAGCAAAGTGCCACCTTGATAGCTACGGTGGCCAACCTGAAGCTTAAGCAATCACTAAATGAAATTACGCAGGGGGAGGAGTGAGAAAGGAAGGAAAACATTCCAAGGAAAAGAGGCAGGCCTGTGTTCAAGCCCCAGTCTTGCAGGCCCCACAAGGGCTGGGATTTGGGCCTCTTTGGTGCAGTGACAGGTCCCCAGCAGCCACCACCTCACAAGCGCATCAGGGCTTCTCAAGGTACACCTGCATACGCTCCCAAAGCCACTAGGGTCCATGGGTGGGGCTTCTGGAAGGGGACTGAATGACAGGGGCTTATTCCTGACTTGCTGATAGGAGGGGGGAGGGTTCTGGTGGGAAGCGGTGGATCACTGTGGATATGACCCGGAAGAACTTAATACCCTCCCCAGAGCCTCCTGCGACCTCCCTTCTGCTTCCTGGCAACCCGGAAGGTCTTAGTGCCCTCCCCAGAGCCTCCTGAGACCTCCCTTCCACTTCCTAGATACATGACTTGAGCAACTTTCCCCCACCACGCTGTTTCTTGGCCCTAGGTAAGCACAGACTAAAACCGAAAGCTAAACTAAGCCTCTCCTTTAAGCTGTGGGTGTTGGGTATGGTGCCTCAACGGTGAACAAAGGGACAAAAAGAGCGAGGGCTTGAGGATGAATGTATGGATGATGTCAGGTGAGTCAGTAAACCTCTCCAAGGCTGTTTTCTTAGCTATAAAATGAAATCAATACTATTTACTAGTCAATTATTAAGAGGACCGAATGATTGAGAAAAAAAAATGGTTTCCTCAAAGCAGGACCTTGCCAGTGACCACGGCATGCCTGCTGCATACGGAGAGCTGGTCTACCCATCTTACACGTTACCCCATCCTCATTCTGTGTTGCTACCCCTGTGTCCCCCATGCAGAAGAGAAACCTGAAGTGTAGAGATGCAAAACAACTGCCCAGGGGCCCAGCAAGTGTCAAGCCCAGGCTGACTTAGTCCCGAATCCCTGAGATCTTCTGCAATGCTGTCCCTCAAAATAGATATAAATGTTAGTCAGGTTGTGCACCCACCCACACATGACAGCCTCCTGTTGCCTGGGGTCTTGCTCCTCTATGTGGTTGGGCTCTTACTTAAAGAACTAAAATAAAAACCTAAACCTAGATCAATACCTCGCTCTGCGAATGCCCTGGATAAGTTCCCAACTCTTTTGGGTCTTCAGAGTCTTTGCCTGTGACATGGGCACAAAGAAGCTTACCTTGGAGGGCGGTGGTGGAGACTCAGGGAGGGACTGTGTGGAATTCCTGGCGTGACCCAGGTTGGGGCTCAGGAAGTAAACCCAGAGCAGGAGGGTGGCAAGAGGGAGGACTCTGCACTTTGCTTTAATTCTGGCTGCTGGGCTGCCAACTGCCTGTGCGCCCTTTGGCCAAGGTGCCCTCATTTGCAAGGTGGTAATGATAATGCCTACATCCCTGGGCTATTATGAAGTTACAGTGAGCTCACGGACAGAAAGGACCCAGAACCTGGCACATGCTAAAGTTCAGCAAGTAAAAGCTCCCATTAGACGTTTTACTACCAGCATTGTTCAATGGGCCATAACAAAACCTGCTGCGGCCTTTACCCTAAATCCCCGGGACACAAATGATTCGAGGATTTCTTCTCTTACTCATGGCAAAATGTCAAGAGTCTGAAATACCCTCCCACTTGGAATCACGAAGGATGGCAGAGCGTAAAAGAAAAGCAGGTTGGAAACCGGCCAGACGGCATACAGAGCAAGGCTTTGGCTTGCCAACGGGGAGGAGCTGCACCCACACTGTTCTCACAAAGCCCAGAGAGATCTCACCAGTCCCACGGGACTGCGACAACATCCCAAGTGTTAGGGCCGTGGGCACCAAGAACACAGCTGAGTGGGAAGCGGAGCTCAACAGGGATGCAGCTGAGGGCCCGGCCCTCTCCCTTCCTGGACATTAAACCTTTTTCAAATAGGTGCGCAATCTCTAAAGCCAGCCACTGGAAGGCAAGGTTAAATCAACATCTTCCAACAGGTATGTACACATTCACACACACACACACACACACACACACACACACACACACAGAGTATGAAGTCATGGCAATGCCCAGTAAGTATCAGGTACAAAGAGAACTTTCAAAGTCTGTAGTAACCAGAAATGGCTCCTGCCACAGTGATACTCTCTACTATGACACAAGACCTCCTCTTTCCACTTTCATGTACCAGCTGGGTGTGGTGACGTAGCCCTTGTGATCTCAGCACTTAGAAGGCTGAGGTGTGAGGGTTAGGGTTAGGATTCCCTCAAATTCAGGACCAGCTGCACTACACAGTGAGTGCAAAGCCAGCCTGAACTGTATAGTGAACCCATGGCTCAAAAAAGTAAACAAAGAACAACTCCATCAAACAAGCACACAAACGAACAAAACTTTAAGCTACTTACATACCACTGCCAAATAAAGCTTCCCAGATCTCAGCTCTGATCAAACTCTGCTCAATCGTCAATGGCTCCCCGCTTCCCAGCAAATCCGAGGCAAACTTTTCAGTGAGACTCAAGGTAGCCCCTCCATCTGCTCTTTCCTAGCAAGGACCTGACCCTGGCAAGGGACACTGTGTGGGGGAGGGAGAAACACAGCATGACCAGTTGGCCCGTGGCTCTGAACATCTAAGTTAACATCTAATAATCTTTCTATTCCTCAATTCTATCTATAAAATGAGGTCTATGGTAAGTACAAGAAAGGGGTAGCAAACGCCTACTGGCTAACGCCAGCTGGCCACCTGTTTCTGTAAACCTCCACGGGATGCAGTCCCATCCATTCGTGGTCTGGCTGCTTTTATGCCACGAGAGAGGAGCTGAGCAGTTGTGACAATGACTTTCAGCCCACAAAACCTCAAATATTTCCCAAATATTTACCATTTAGCTCTTCCCAGAAAACCGGCCTGGGTTCCAAGGAGGGACTGGGACCGCCTGCGTTTGTACACAGTGCTCAGCTGGAGTGACTCTGATCCCCCTCTGGAGAGGCCACGCCCTCTGCTCCTTGAACCAAAGCCACTTGCCACTTTTCCATCCACGAAGCCACCCTTCCCTTCCAGATTGACTCTTCTGCTCCTGTGACATAGAGCTTGTGGAGAACTTGGATACGGGCAGTACCGTCGCATCCCCGCCGCCACACGTAGCAGTGAGCGAGCCCTGCCAACTTCGGCATTCCTGGCGGCACCTCCCGGGGAAGCTGGCGTGCGCAGCAGGACCTTTGTACGCTGCAGCTTTGTACACGGCTATCAGGCGGAGCAGAATAGCAAGAAAAAGGGTGAATCTTGGGGAACGGATTAAATATGAAACTTACATAAAGGAGGCTATTGGGGCGTCCTCAGACCAGATTCCATTGATTGAGAAGAGGGGGAAGCAAAGAAAATAAACAACTACAGATCACCCAGCCCATTAATCAGGAGCTGTCTACCAAGGATGATTAATCATC